AATACATATATATAGAGAGATATATATATATCTATATATACATATAGATATATATATATATATAGAGAGAGAGAGAGAGAGAGAGAGAGAGAGAGAGAGAGAGAGAGAGAGAGAGAGAACACAGCTATATAAACATGATGATGTATTACTTCATAAACCCACAATATGTTTTATCTCACTAGGTTATTCTTCATGCCTACCAATGAATCTTACTCTATTTTTAAAGCTGTGGTGTGGATTTGTCACTAACACATATATGTCCATAACTAGAACTGCAAAGCATTACTCCATGGGATATTTTGATTTGCATGTATACATATGGGAAATTCAACTCTTAATATCTGTCCCATGTGAGCTTAATCACACTATGTTTACAGTCTGGCTGAGAGGAAGAATAGCGGAAGTAACCAGTCGGGTTACCCAGGGTCCATTACACCCACCTTTAAAAATAAAATAAAAAAAATATAGAAAATCACCAGAGTTAACCAACTCTGAAGTCCTCAAACTACATCCTGTAGCTTGATGACTGTTGCCCAATTAAATGCTTCTCAAAGAGGAGTACTGATATGGTGCATATGCTACTATCAATCATGCAACAAACTGAATGCTTCTCATATAGAATAATATTTAAGAAAGTGTGGGAGAAAAAATGCTAAATGTATGTTTGAAAGGGTCAAATAGCAGCAAGGGGCATGAACCCAATAGTTTTTAGAGAACCCAATAATTTGTCAGGGTATTAGTATGTATTGCATTTGTTGGAGATACTAATAAATATAAGCTTAATTTTATCTATTTATATCATTATAGAGAAGCACAGAAATAGCTACCATGCAAGTGTGACATAGTCCACTTTCACAAATGGCAAACAGACTGTGCACTGTTAAAAAATATGAGGTTTGTCAACTAAAATTGTACCCCTAAAGTAATTATAATAGGAATGTATAGAACACATACCGCTTCTACGGTATTGCAGCGATGCCTCGATGTCGAAGCATCCTGCAATACCCCGCCGCGTGATCATTTCCAAGTTGCCCCACGTGGCGCCTAGCGGTGAGGCAGACAGGGCCAGATTAACATAGGGGCTGATGGAGCTGCAGCTCCAGGCCCAGGCCCAGGCCCAGGCCCAGGCCCATTGATTTATTTATTTTTTTTACATTTTGTTTTTTTCCACACACTACTCTTAGGGATTCCACCTGGCTTTTATTTTATTGGCACAGCCAGTATTTGAGGCTGCCTGGCTGGTGTCAATATTACAGTGATACTGGCAATACAAATGCTGGTATTTTTCTCAGTATAAACAAGAGATTACTCTGCAATACCAGCACTGGCCAGTAGGGGTCACTGTGTGTGGAGACAGGCAGGGATAGGAAGTTCCAGCATATCCCTCCCTGCCTATCTATACTTACTGATCTGCAGGGGTGCAGCTACAGAGAGTCCAGACAGCAACTCCCACCGTGCAGAGACAGCCTACAGCTCAGGGAAGTAAGGGATGGGGGGGAAAGGCTGCAAGGAGACATATACTGAGACACTAAAGGACACTGGGAGACATTATGACACAGACACATGGGGACACAGTGTCCCCATGTCTCCCAGCCAGTGTCCCTGGTGTCTCAGTGCCCCCTAGTCTCCCAGTGCCCCCAGTCTGCCAGTGTCTCACTGTCCCCATGTGTCCTAGTGCCTCCATGTCTCCCAGTGCCTCAAGTGTCTCAATGTCCCCATGTCTCCAAGCTAGTGTCCCTAGTGTCTGTGGCCCTGGTGTCCCCTTGTCCCCATGTCTCCCAGTGCCCCCATGTCTCAATGTCCCCATGTCCCCCAGCCAGTGTCTCTAGAGTCTGTGTCTCCATGTCTTCAAGTGTCCCCTATTTTCCCAGTGTCCCCATGCGTCCCAGCCAGAGTCCCCTAGTCTCCCAGTGTCACTGGTGTCTGTGTCCCTAGGTCTCCCCGTGTCCCCAGGTCTTCCCGTCTTCCTAGTGACATGGGGACCCTGTGATACATAGGATCACTGGGAGACCTGGGGACACAACACTAGGGGACACTTGGAGACATGGGGCACTGAGACACTGATACATAGGAACACTGAGACCTGGAGTAATCGACACATGGGGGCACTGGGAGGAATCCATCTATACAGCAGAATCAAACTAAGTAGTTTTTTGGTGATTTTACAGCATTTTCTCTTATGTCACTCCTTGTGATTTACATCATGTGATGTCATCCATACATATTTAATTATGCAAATTAGCAAGGCCGGTATGTTTTTCCAAGAAAGGTGGCAACTCTAACTACTTTTCACATACTCTTACTTAAGTATGGAAACTTAAGAGGGATGTATGGGAACAAAACTTGTGTGGACTGGCTGACAATGAATATAGTTAAAGGGACACTAGAGTCACCAGAACAACTACAGCTTATTGAATTTGTTCTGGTGAGTAGAATCATTATTCAGAGCCTACCACGCTCACACGGCAGGGACCGACAAGACAAACTATTACACGACTTCATACGCACGTCAGGACTGACTGACGTCTGGAGGGCCCAACACCCCGGTGAAGTGGACTATACGTTCTACTCGGCACCCCACAACTCATACTCCCAAATCAAAGTTTTCCTGGTAAACAACCAGGCCATCCCAAATATCACAAAATCCTCGGTGGGCTCAATTACATGGTCGGACCACGCAGACATAAGTATAGAACTAGATAGCCTTTGCACTACGACCCCATGGACCTGGAAACTAAACCTCTCCCTACTCCAAGACCCAGATATCAAAGAGACAATCCGTAAAGACATAGACGACTACTTCCAGCTTAACACAACCCAAGACTTGACACCCGCAACCATATGGGGCGCACACAAAACTGTTATCAGAGGGGCCCTCATCAGGGAAGCAACCATCAAAAAGAAACAAAAAACACAAAAACTAAAATCCCTCCTTCTTGACCTCCACACACAAGAACAGAGACACAAAACAACTCTACACCTGACGAACTTCAGGCCCTACAAACCACGCAACGCCGAATCAAGGAGACGTTACTAGATGACGTAGCCAGGGCTATGACGTGGTCCAGGAGAACATTCTATGAACAAGCAAACAAAATGCACACACTCCTGGCCCGCACACTTTGCCCACGACCTAGGCAAACACATATTACAACAATTAGGGACCACAAAGGCCAACATCGACCTAATCTGGACACAGACAGCCTCACACACCACATCCCTTATGCTCTCCCTGGAGGCCCAAAAGGCATTTGACAGGGTGAAATGGATGTACCTGTTTGAGCTTCTAAGACACTTCCGGTTCCCCAAGATATACATTACGACAGTCCAAGCCATGTATACAGACGTCAAAGCCTATGTCCGTATCCCAGGAGCACTGGCAGCCCCCTTCACGCTACACAACGGTACACGGCAGGGGTGCCCACTCTCCCCCCTCTTATTTACACTCAGACTAGAACCCCTACTATAAGCAATCCGATCTACCCAAGCTATACAGGGAATAGAAGTGGGCGACCAGACTTACAAGGTATCCGGATATGCCGATGACGTGCTTATCACTCTCACAAACCCAAGAGAATCAATGAGAACCCTAACCCAGGAACTGACGGAATATGGAGACCTCTCAGGTTACAAGGTGAACCTAGCCAAATCCACAGCACTCCCAATAGCCATGCCACCCGCAGACGTAACATACATACGAGAACACTACCAAATACCTATAGCGAACACCGCAATAAAATATTTGGGGATACAGTTCACAGCGGACCCCACATACCTATACAGAGCTAATTATACACCCCTCCTCAAAACTCTCAGCACGGACTTAGACAAATGGGTGGACAAACCCTTGTCGTGGATAGGAAGGGTCCACACAATAAAGATGAACATACTCCCCAGACTCCTTTTCCTTTTCCAAGCACTACCCATACCCGTCACAAAATATGACCTAGCCCCCCTACAAAAGACAATAGGAGACTTCATATGGCAACACAAACGACATAGGGTCTCCCAGAACATTCATTATAGGCCCAAATATGGGGGAGGACTGGGCCTGCCCCATCTACACAACTACTACCTCGCGGCCCAGATAGCTCAGATAGCCATGTGGCACTCGGCACCGGGAGACTGCAGATGGGCAGACCTGGAGGCCAGCATTATGGGAGCAGACCTACCCACCCTCAGATTTCTTCCGATACATCCAGATCAGGGATTTCGCACAACACAACCTAGCAAAAACTGCAGCACAAACTAAACGACGGGCTTTGAGAAAATGTGTCTTAAGGAAAAACCCCTGGGGCTGCGGACACAAAGGGATGGATAAGCACATGTGGTGGGACTGCCCGAAGGCACAGGCCTTTTGGAGAGAAGTAGGGAGCCTATTAGACAAAGTGTTCCAGAGAAGGGAGGGCATAGATCCATGGGTGTGTCTGCTATCCAGGCCACTTGATGAATGGCCAGGAAGGGACCAAAAACTCTTACGTAAAATCACCCTAGCAGCTAGACTCACCATGGCACAGGCATGGCTTAAACCCCAAATCCCCCAGATCAATATGGTGATACATAAAATAAGGATATCCACGTCATGGACCACCTCACGGCACTGGTGAGAGGCACCTTGAAAGCATATGAAAAGGTCTGGGAACCCTGGAAGGCCAGTGATTGAGAGAACTGAGGTTAGATCAGGAAATGGGGCACCAACATCACTAACCAAACCCGAACGTAATCCAGACGAAACTCTGATCTCCGCCTGAGGGGCTACCCCCCCCTCTTTTTTCTTCTCTATCCGTTACTCCTTTTCTTCTGTGTTATTAGGAGAAACGGAGACCACGAATTGATGCCACCCACCATGAGCGGAGGGCGTCCAAAACAGACGAAGCACTCTACTAAGGTCTCCAATCTTTTAACAGGTTAATTGTTCACTGTTTATTTGTTAACATGTAGTGATGTCCCAAACTGTTCGCCACGGTTCGCCACGAACGGTTCGGCGCGGACTCCAGTCAGCAGACACATTCCTGCCAATCAGCAGCAGACCCTCCCTCCCAGACCCTCCCACCTCCTGGACAGCTCACTAAGAATGCAGCTTCAAAATGGATGCTGTCCAGGAGGTGGGAGGGTCTGGGAGGGAGGGTCTGCTGCTGATTGGCTGGAATGTGTCTGCCGACTGGAGTTCGTGGCGAACCATTCGTGGCGAACCATTCACGGCAACCCGCGGCAAACCGTGCGGCGAACAGTTCGGGACATCACTATTAACATGTGTCGCCAGCAAAAGTACACCTAAGCTTGAGACAACAAACATAATACTGTAAGAATCGCATTACACGTTGTATATATGTACTCGACAGTATAAATGTATGTACTATGTTATGTATACTTAGAAGCCAAAGTCCAATGTAACGACACACCAAAAATAAAAGAATTTAAAAAAAAAAAAAGTATCAAAGGGAAACACACTTTATTGCAACATTTTACAGAACCAAACTTTTAAATGCTTTCCTCATTTCCTTCTCTGGATGAGGAATATTTCTACAATAGACTACAGATTTCCATCTCCCCAATCTTTTGATAATATGTGCTGGGGTATTAGTGCTGGAAGCGATGGAGGCTGTTCCTATCCTAAATTAATGCCCTCAGAATGATGCAGGGTCAAAACCTAATCTTTGTAATAGTGTTCTGGTGTAAAATATGAATTTAGAAGTTGTGAGCGGGAATCCTTCAAGTGAAAGTAGTGGTGAGTTGTGGTTAGCCTGAATGAGTGTGGGTAGATACAAATTTAGAATTTGAAAAGGGCACCATTTGTTATCGGTGGGATACAGTGGGATAGTTGACTTGTTTGATTAGTTTTGGACGTTCTTAGTGACAGTGTATAGTGATCATG